TCAAATGTTTGGTGTTGTATGGATTATTTATGTAAACACCAAACCCCGCAGAATTCGAGGTTATGAGAACAGGTTGACATTTCGAAATAGGTTCCGTCATTCAACGATTCCTGTTGAATTTACTGTTTATCCTTGTCTATCTTATTGTTACTATTTATCCATGGTTACCGGAATTTTAAATAATTACGAAGCAGGTATTTGTGCAATGTTAATTAGGCAGATTACCTTGAAAAACATTGCTGCCGTATTTCTGATATAGTTTTTTGCAAATTTCTCAGTTTTTAATAACAATTAATTTATTTTACTAGTTTGTCTGTACTCCTATAACACCGCCAGACAACACCCCCAGAGGAATGACGCCAATTTTGAATAACCCTGTATATAATTGTATAAGTATATTGCATAATAATAACATTGGTGGATACAAGGCAAAGTTCGGAAACTGACAAATGTCGCATGAAATAAAATCTATATTATAATCAACGAATTATGAGATTTCAACACACAAATATTGCTGCAATTGATTAATTTCAAGTCCCCCGTCAGATTTTTTCTTGCCAATTTGATTGAAAAATACAAACGCTGTTTCGTTTCTCCATTGCTCGATTGACGTTTTACATCTCCACTGCGTTTTTTTCACATTGGGTGTAGGAAAAAAGGTAAAACCCTGGTTCGTACGTTAGAAATTTCGATTGTGACATGTGCTATGTAGGTAAGTATAACTGTATGCGACAGATAAAAAGCAGGTATTGGCATTAGAACGACCTTCAGTCGATATTAAAGGAAACATCGGCTACTTACGATGAGAGATAAGATGAGATAATAAATATGAACCAACAATTTTTGTGTCTCGGCAAAAATTGATTGAGCCGTAACCGGATATCACTAAAACTTACTTTTAAGTAAGTACTTACATAATCCATACATATTACAGACTTTAAAAAAAAACAAAAACATATCAATATTCTGCAGTGTTTTAAAAATGAAAGAAAAATTACGCGTTGGGTTATACGACACCATTCGTATACATTCAACCTTATGTCATAAAACGATGGCTGCAGTAGTATTTAAAATTAAGTTTACTGTTATTTTTTTTATTAATTATTAAGTCACAGATCTATCTAGACGACGGAGCCGTGCACATATTAGTCCCTCTTTTCCAGTCAAAAATCGAGGTTAATACATTTAAGCTGATTAAAGTAATTGATGAATTAAATAGATAATGTAGGTATCAAACTTAATTGTCCTTTCTGAAAGAAGAACTTATCTTCCTTAATAAAAATCCGCTGTTCCCATATACATATATTGCAGTTGAAATACAAGTATTTTAAGCCATCGTCAAAAATATTATTATAGAGAGCATATTAAGTATTTAGATAACCTCTCCCACCACGCCACACATGCTGCTCATTAAAACAAAAGTAAAAGTGAAGACTTATAGTTTTGACTCTCACCTCATGTCACATTCAATCTTACTGCTAAGCGCTTTAAATAGCAATTGTATAGGGAGGAGAAACCAGTGATGCTCGACAATTGCGTACAAGTCGATAAATGCATGGGACAAATATTTGAAGTGAACATTAAATTAACTAAAATAAATGGATAAATATAAATGATCTGACAGTAGATATCAGTTTAGCACCCGATCACTATATGCTGCTTGGACGATGATGAACGATATCGTTTGACCCCATAACACTGTAAATAATTTTAAAAATCGTTCAATTCCTGTTTGAACTAGACTAGGTACTACTACGATACCACATCGCCAAAATGCCGGACACATTGGTATTTACAAAAATGGGGAGATAATAAATTACTTTTTGTTTTAATCGTTTAAGTCTTTCTTTGCATATTATAATTCTGGTATGGATACTTTCAAATACCACGAAATATAAGATTCATATATGTATTTACATAAAAGGAAAATAATGTTTGTTGGTTTTTGAAGAAATCCGAAAAATCGACAATCAAGATGACTTGATCATCGCAATTATAATCACCGCGTGGCGTAAAAACACCACCAGGTACTTAATTACATCAAGTAAGACCCAATGGTTATCGAGCAAATATGAATCTATAAGCAATTCCAATATTTCAATAACATTTTGGACGTAAATTTTTTGTAATTTTGTAACACTAATCAGTTTAACAGGTACCTACCATAGCGATAATGTAAAACACTTTTCGGTCATTTTCGCTGGTTTTGAGTTGTAAACAAGTGTCTATTGGAGCACGGTCAATTAAATACTTAGTTAATAATTAATTAATATGTAATAATAAACTTGATTTTGTCGAGTACTATTGTACTTTAATTAAAGCGGGAAAAGATGCAAATTTCAAAGGTTTTTTAAACGCTTTATAATTTTTTTTTTAAATCTAGATCGTTCGCTTGAAAAAGTTTCTCAACATTTCCTGCGCGTTCAATGTAAAAAAAAAATATTTTTCGAAAAATGCCGCTGTTAGGTATATAAGTACAATTTCAAAGGCAGTTTCAACTTATTGTTGAAATATTGGTACCTAATAGCCAAATGGAAAATGGTTTAAATAATTGGTACCTACTCATAAGTACTACGATACTCATCGGAAAAGTTTTGTATTAACAAGGATAATAGCAAATAGCAAACGAATCTTATTTGAAAACCACTGGATCAAATACAAACAGCGCTTTAAAAAATTGGTTAAGGCTGGAATCTACGGTTGTTAACAATATATTAACAATGATATGACTGTGGCAGAATTTTATCAACATGCATTTAACGTAAATGTTTGAATTTACCTTAATATTATGGAGCAAAGTCTTCAGGCGTTGGGACTCGCCGGTACACAAATGTTATTTACATTGAATTGTTTAGAACCCAGGAATATTTAGTTGCAGGGACTATGTTGTGACTTGTAGTTCTTCTTACGCCTTCCAAGCCACCGAAGGACTATGTGTACTAGTGTAAGTAAATCCAAATATATAAAATATGCACGTTCAAATGTTAATTGCACACCACGTTCTTTCTTCGGACCAAATGACAACAAAAATCACTACTCCATTTTGAAACAAAAGTCGAAGAAAAAAACATTGAATCACTTAAACACACGTCTTTGTTCGTAAAAGTAGTCTCTAATGGGCAGTTGGTTATCCTAAGCAATTAAAATTAGTTATAATTTGTATCAAATGTGAATTTGCTTGGAATTTGGGGAAAAATCCGGGGAATGTATTAATGGTTAACGAAATTCCGGAGCACAAATAGCACCAGTTCACCTATGATTTTGACTTGACTACCGAACTACCGACACGGAAGACAGGACTTAAAGGCAGATACAGAAGTTGTGCTTTTAGCTGCAAGCTTTACTTCTCCAATCGCCATGCACGATCCGAACATTCAATGTTTACCCGTTTTATTCGCCTACCATACTCAACCGCAATAAGATCCCACTAGTTATTAGTCTATGAGACAGCCACATTTTCTACATTCTACAAGCTACAAGTAAATCGAAAAAACTCCAACACTTTTATATAATAACAAACAGCATCTATACCCGCAGATAAAAGAAGCACTACTGTCAGCAGTGTCAACTTCACTAGTCGGTTATTCGGTGCTCAGCCATACCACCAGAGGTCAACACCTTACGGGTTAGCTGTAGCGGAGAATAAAATTCAGATTGGTTGGCTGCCAAACAGATGCCAAATGATGCCAAACCAGATGCCAAATGCCAAAAAGTCATGCACGAATTAAGGTAGCGTTGCAAGGAGCAAAATTAGTGAAAATGATTTTATCAATAAAAATTAAAAATAAGGTATGAATGTCAGTCAAGTTGGTAATACAAATATATTGATAGCAGAGACAGCTGTTCAGCTACATAAAGTGCAAAGTGAGAGGTGGGTGACTGCTGACATAATAGTTTCTGTGGAATTTTGAACAAAAGCGACATAGTTTCGGACAAACTGTGCTGACTGCGTTTTCCCATAATGACTATTTTACCAACTATTCGTAAAACAAGTAATAATGCTGAAGAAAACAAGGAAGCAGGCCAACAAAATGTAAGTGAATTTTTCCATACTTTTCACGAGTAGGTACCTATTTAGGTATTTTGCTTACTTGCTTCACCTGCACTCAATTGCACTACTTTGCACAGCTCACTTTCCTGTTTATGCAAATAGTTATTAATGATTAAGATACACTGAATATTGTTAATGATTTTCATGTATAGGTAACCGTTGAACGCACTAATAGAAGAAACGATATTAATTCTATTCAAATAGCATCTCTTTCCGAGAGTAACTCGAATGCTCGCAGATCACCGTTTCCATTGTAAGTACTCATTTCAAATTTTATTACATGCATACTTTCTAGCCATTAATATGACACTATATACAACGAATCTCTTTGTATGCTCAACTTATCACATAATTACGTGTTTTTATTCCGACCGTTGGGCACGATTTTATCCAGGCTAGGCATTTTTTTCGAGTTCTTTTTCTTCGTTTCAATTATGTTCGTACCATAGTAACTTCAAATAATGGCTGGGTATCAGTTCAATTCTGTTATATTGTGATGTGGAAAATATATAGAAAATTCAGTACATTTTTTAAAGCAAACCAGACAGAAAGGAGCGCTTGCGGAAAAGATTTAAGGAACCAGACAGAAATCGGGACAGAGAACGGGAAAGAGAACAAAAACGAGAATTAAGAAGAGAACAAAAGAGAGATCGGATTGCTGTTGCTAAAAGAGACATAGGCAATGAGCCGTTACTAGACGATGGTGTAGATAACGTAGAACAAGTAGTAGACCCTCCTTGCAATAGTAATAACATAATAAATGTTGAAGTAAAAGAAGAAGCTACAGGCTTTAACAGCGAAGATGAATATGATGATAGTAGTGTTAAAGATAGAGTTCTCACCGATGAAGAATGGCAGAAGGTCATACTGAATTAATCTAAAACAGTCAATGAATAATGGCAGTAATTTTTAGAGAGATGAATTGTTTTCACGGTATATGTCCAATTTGGGATGGGAAATCAAACAAATAAATGAAGATGGAGCTTGCCTATTTCGCTCCATTGCCGATCAAGTCTATGGAGATCAAGACTTCCATCATCAAGTTCGTCAGGACTGTATGAATTACATTGTTAGTGAAGTTTCAAGTCTGGAAAACATCATTGTTACAATTTTTACTTTCAACTTTTAGGTTCAAAATCGCGATTTTTTTGAACCATACGTGACCGAGGATTTCGATAAATATGTAGCCAGAAAGCGCACGTGGCATGTGCACGGTAATCATTTGGAAATTCAAGCAATGAGCGAACTTTACAATCGGACTATTGAAGTTTACTGCTACCAAATTGGTAAAAAAACTTGGTTGTTTATAAATATATACAAATAATTTTGAATCAGTCGTTATAATACAGTTTTCTGTTTACTATTAAACAGTTTGAAATCATATTAACTTGAGATGCATTAGATTGATGCTCATATAGCTAACTGCCGCACCAAGGGCGACCTATTTTTATAGTTAGTTTAAAGCAAGCAGCGTTTGATTGTTGCATTGTATTGGGGACCTTGTAAGACTTAATAACTAGGGCCAATGCTAGCTACAGCATGGACATTTCCCAAAAAATAAATACCTCTTATATTTCAGAACCAATTAACATTTTTAACTGTTCGAAAAGAATTGTGAATACTTATGAACCAATAAGATTATCGTACCATAGAATGTGTCACTATAACTCGATAAGTAATCCAAGCAAGCCCTCTGTTGGTGTCGGTCTGGGATTGCCCAACTATCACCCAACCGATACTGATAGGAGAAGACTTCATGATGCCGTTAGAGCAAGCGAACAATTATTAATCGAACAGGTAAAAACAGTGATATAAAATGTGTTCTTATTTTAATTGAAAATGTCGCATTTAAGACTATGCTTGAGGACAAACTGAAGGCCACTGATTGGGAAGCAACGAATGAAGCTATTGAAGAGCAAGTGGCTCGAGAATCGTACATTCAATATTTCCGAGATACAGAAAAACGTTTAAAAGATCAAGGACATCCGTTGGCTAGTGGCAGTAGTTCTACAATAACATCGGCGATGGTGTCCAGTCCTAGAAGTTCGCTCAGGGGATCAGTATCTCCTAAAGGCTGGCAGTCTCCAAAAGGCTGTGCCTCTCCCAAGCATATAACACCATTAGGTAATACTTCTGCACCCAATGAAATAATGAATTTAACATATTCGCGGTTATTCAATCAGCAAGTCCAAGAACAAGTTGTGCAACAAACCTAGAATGTGAAAACGTCATTCCTCCTTATGCCCCAACAAAAGAAGACGAGGCATTTGCTAAGAGAGTATACAACTCACCTCGTCACATTTCTGAACAAAATGATGGAAACTTTAATGTTGAAAAATTTCAAATAGATGAACCGGGCCCCTCATCTTTAATAAATAATAACGCTGGTAAGACATAACAAATTATTAATTAAATAACATTGTATTAATAACAAAAATTGTTCATTGCGTTTTGTTATAGTATATTAATTAAATTAAATAACTTAGGTGGTTTCGAAGACTTCGAGCAAGAAATAATGGCACAAGTGTTGGCAGAATCACAGCAATCTTATCTAGATGAATTAAAGAGCAAGTCGAGGAAAAGGCATACGTCTCCAGGACCTTCAACTTCTACTTAAATTTCATGTAATCATTTAATTTGGTTTGATTGTCAGCTTAAATGTATTAGTAACAATTGGGTAGCATCGTCGATTTTATCCCCTAACGTAATATTAATATTGTACATATTAATCTGACTTCAACTGCAGTCAGCCATTTACTGTGTAAATAATAAATAACCTTTAATTTTTGAGCATGTGAGGACGGGAGCTACAATATATTAATTACATTATATAGGGGTTGCGCATTTAAGGCAAATTTTAAGACATATTTCTAAACTTTTTACATGTAATATAGATTGTGATTATTTATTTCTGATATACTACTATTTACTTTTACAGAAAACAATTGAAGCCATTTTTGTACTTAGATAAGGCAAATCAAATTAAAGCCAAACACTTTAATTTTTTTAGACGTTTAAGAAGCCATTATAAGGTAAATTACTTGTGATATGTTATAACTAGATTGGACATTAAAATTTTATTTTGGTTACTTTAAATATTGCTGTTCGGTATTAATTTTTTTGTTATTACGAACGTATGTAATATAAAATACTATCAGAATATTTATGATCCGGCCTGTTAACAATTTTTACCCATATCTCGAGAAATACGATCATTTAGTAAAATCGCTATTAAATTTGTCCATAATTCTTAAAATTGTCCCTTCGGTAACCTAAAGTTAAATCTAACTTAGGTCGAGTTTTAACTGAAAGCAAGAATTGGCAGTTTTTATATTGGAAGCTTGACGTACTCTTCAAGCTTCCAATAAATTCAGTACTTCGAATCCAAAGTGAGGGATTGATATTACCTAGTTCAAATACCATCTGGTATGGTCTATGCGTCAATAATACAGACTCTGAATACTAGGTTGACCAAACAAAATTAACTTAATTTTATTAAACATGTTATACTGATGCACAAAAATGTAATATCTCCCTATCGCACATTTTGTATGAGCGTAAAGAATGGTTCTATGAAGTACATTCTGATGATATTGAGAACTATTTAAAATATATAAGAAAACGTTTTGTACAAACGGGCTTATTGCACTTAGTTCGGTTTTCCATATAATATGTATCACATAAGATAACAGTAACTGTCTACATGACTATCCATCATGTAGGTTTAGTAGAACTATTACTTGGGTCGCTAATGTATTCAGCTTTAGGACTGGAAAAATAATCTTGCACTGCTGTAACTGAACTCTAACAATTTGAATTCCTGAAATAAAATTCAGATATTATGTAAGAATGTGCCAGAATGTTACTCAGGTACCCTGTAGAAGGTCTCAATTTTTTTTTCAGTTAATGTTAAAGTCTGTTTAAACTTTGTATCTTCGGAGTTAGAGAATCGTGTTTGTTCTCTTATCTTCTGCTTATCGGTGTGAAATTTACGCTGAACAGACTCGAACCAATGCAAAGAGTTGAATTGACTTTCTTGATTTAATAACTCGATTATGTAGGCTAAACCTTAAAAATTAAGGAGTTTTAAATAAAATGATATCCATATCTTATGAAGTATTTCTTACCAAGAGCAAAACCATCATCTGTAAAGGCACTATCGGTTTTGTCTTTCTTAAACAGTTTCTCTTTACAGGTCAATGAGTGTTCCACAAAATTTATTGTCAGCGGAGGTACTATTATATAAAAGGTTTTTAAGTGGTTATTACTTGGATTCCTAAAGTGGGACAAAAAAGTTGATACTAAAAGCTTGAAGTATTCGGTTGTATTTTCAAAATGCTTTGTAAAGCCATTCAAGTCCTTTAAAACAAATTGGACTGAACTAGAAGAGGCGTTGGGAAACACTTTATTTTCGGTGAGATCATTAAGTAACTCCACCTCGGTTAGGTCGGGAATGAAACAAGTGCCTTGAGACAAACACCGGTTTCCCCCCGACCTAATTAATCGAACATAACCCATTGCATTCCCTACAACAGTTTATAGTGCAACAAGAATATTTTTTCTGGAAACATCTCTTACCAATATGTGTGATCAGTTTTCTAAATAAATCCAAATAAGTTTGTACTCCGTCGGGTAAGCCCAATTTGCGAATTCCCTTATTAAATTTTTCGGCTCTTTCGTAGGGGTACATCTGCTGAAGTTCCTTCTTGTGATCAGCAAAATGTCGCAGGTCCTTAATCAGTCGTGATTTAATTTGTTCATCGAAGAGAAACTGAGAACATTTTCGTAATTTGTCCTGTAAGAACTGGTACGTGTAGTTGACTGTAGTATTCATAATGCCAATGCCGTGCGACCTTATAGAATTGGCGACGTGTGAAATATTGATGGAGTTGAGATATTTATTATTGCTACACTCTTCGATGAATATTTGAGTATTCAAATTATAGAGATACTTTTGAACAAAAACATTAATATTTCTCATAATTTCTAGAACATCTAAACCCTGATCCAAAGTTTGCATTGGTAAATCATCGTCCACAGTTTGTAAACCATATTGCAAAACGGCCAATCTAAAAAATGTAAGCTTCAGCATACAGGATGTCCGAAAATCGTACGACTAACACTTCTCGAGGGCGCTCTAAAGCAACAATTAGTGGGACAATTTTCTGTACGACTTTTTCGAAAACGCAATAATTACTGATCTACAGGACGTTAAAGTTTAATAAGTGAATAACAAATTCATAATACTTACTACCTAATTAATAATTTAATAAATAATAATTAATTTTAAGTGCACTTGTTTCTAAGGCACGCTTTGCTAAAACGTTTGAGTAGTAAAGTAGATTTTCTCGAATACGGCTCATTTTAGAAAGATGACAAGAAACCTTTTTTACGCAATTTTGAGTGCTCTTTTATTTTTTTAAACCACACGTGACAGAAAGCGAAAAACAAAAAAGTTTAGGTTAATAATTAACTCACCTGAGTGAGTTCAACCACCCCATAGCACTAATAGATAAATATCAACTTTTGCACAATAATACAATTGGTCATAAGTAATAAGTGTGCCAAATTGTCAAACAATAATTTATCAAAAAAGGCAATTTAAAAAACCTAACTAACGTTATTTTTAATTTTTGCAAGTGTTATAGGAACTGGTCCCACTAATTTCTGCTCTAGAACTACCTTGTGAAGTACTGCTCGCACTATTTCCGAATACCCTGTATATACAAGTGTGAAACATAAATATTGCTATTGTTACGTAGGCTCTTGTTTATACCCTCACCTTCTCATGTCCCCGTACGTTCTCCAATCATGCAACACAACAGTAGTGAGGTTGTAAAAAATGGTACTCAAATAATGTTCGGTGTCGTGCTTTATACTCTTATAAGTACCATTTAGGTGCATCGGGAATAGTTTGTTAAAATTTAAAGAAAAATAATTGCGAAAAGGTTCAGAGGGTGGTAAATCTAAGTGCAAATGAGTCTGGAGCCTCAAGTTCGACTCAATTATTTGATTTACGGGCCTACAAAGCTTCTCTCGGAATATATAAAATGCCTCTCCTGAATTATCACGACTACCAAACATTTCAAAGTCCACAATTGCGCTCAATAAAGGCTGGAAATACAAGGTTACAGTGGTACAGCATCATTACATATCCGGTTCACCTTAAAATTTGTAACTATAAATACTTACATAACATTTTGAAAGACTTGATTTCGAAGCCACCAATTTGCTAAAATAAACCGGCATAACATAGTTGAAATGCCAAAACAGCACTGAACAATCACAGTACTTCTTCAGAAGATAGGAATATTGTGAAACTGCCTCCAATTGCTTTATTAGAAATCGTATCTCCTGCACAGAACCCAAACCACTCGCAGAAAGCGCCAAACTTGCTACTACCATACGCCACTTTGTATTTGGACCTATAAATTATATCCGTAAAATAAGTTGGAATTTAGAAAAAATTGATTTTTTTTACCTTTTAAAGCATGTTCGCATACTTTCAAGGATGAAAGAATGTCTAACTGTTGATCTTTGTATGATTTGGATTGAGTTTGATTTTTCTAAAAAATGAATTAAAACTAATAAAGAACTATTCCCAATGTTGTATCTAAAAATGACTCACTTTTACAACATTTAAAGTAGCCAACGCTACATGCTGTAAATGTTGAGATATTAACAGAACATAATAGTTAATAGAAAGCATATTTCTCTTAAAGGAAGAGTAAATGTATTTTAACATCTCTACTAGACGAGATATGCAGTTTAGTAATGTTTTAGTAACAGGCATATTTTCGTTGAGATGAATATTCATAATCCATTTAATAATCCATTGCATTTTTTGTGTTAACTTTAATCCATTAAACAGTAAACTACTGATTTCTTTCAAATGCCGCGTATTCAAAGCTGTGGCATTTAATTTTATTTTCGATTCTAATTCTATAAGAAAGTGATTAGCCTGAAATTGAAAGTCAAATATCCATTGTATTAAATCTGATATTTTTCCATCATATTTCTTGTCACCTGAAAACACAGCTTATTGGTCTCCTTTGTCAGATTTTGCACCCTCAACGTTACTAAGCTCAGTCTACAACTCTCGACAACTCTTTGGTCAATTAATTTAACTATTGGCGGTACGTATCTTAACAAAAACAGTTCTGGGTACCACATTATATTACCCATGAGCATATAAGCTGACACCTACAAAATTTGCAACAACAAATTTGGATTACCCTTTTACTCATCAACCACTTTCATTCATCTCTAACCTTTCTATTCAGATCCAACAGTCTTTTTAAAAATTTTTTGTCTGTAATTCCAAAGGCATTAAAGTAGAACGCAACGAGAACATTTACTTGTAAACCTGCATCTGAATATAAAAGAATGTCTTCATCTTTTTCCAACTCACTTATACGGCAACATAAAAAGTTATAAAACTCTTCGTTTAAACTACTTTTCTTGAATTCAATTATGAGTGAGCTTTCCAGACATTCTTGTAGAAAGTCCTGAAAAAGATTAGACGATTACGTGATTGATGCAGATTTGACCGAACAAAACTGACCGTAAAAATTGCTCCCGAAAATAATGAGTTTTCTAGTACGGTCAATGTATTACTAAAGACCCGTAAATTACACCCATCAAAGCCTGACGACGAATTTTTATGCACAATATTTCGTACAGCAGTTTTGTATGATAACCAATGGTTTTTCAGTGTTAGTTCACTAAATATATTATCAAATTTAATGAAAATTATCAATACATCACCAATCCAACAAATGATTTCCTAAAAAGATCAGACCAGTATTACCAAGATCAACGAAGCTAACATTGGAGAGCAAATTATATTGATCAAAAATGGATAAGTCACTTAAACAAGCATATAGAAAAACAATGACTATTCCTGGATATACTTACAGAAAAGCTAGGTATGCTATTTGATACATAGTACCCCTTAAGCAAAATGGAACTGAGCTGCCTCAATGTTAACCCTATCACATATCTTGCCCTTTTAATTAAGCTGTGTGTTCTTTGTAAAGGATCAATTAATTGGCATATGGATTCGAATATATTATAAACATTCCCGTTCTCTAAAATATCACAAAATCTCAGATTCGACACATTGCATTTGTAAATTCATTGATTTGATCATGATGCCAACCTTCTGCATAAAATAAAAATGATGAATAAAGACCTTGAGCTTCTTGCTTTAACAATTGAAGCTCTTGGCAAATCGCTCCTAACGTACTCACGATTCTCGATAAAGTGCCATTATCAGAATGAGCTAGATATAGAATAGAAACACTTTCAGAAACTTGATCCTAAAAATCTGTGTTATTATTCGAGATTCAAATGATTTACAATAGGAGTAATTACGTCAATGGCAATCGGCTCCAACGACGTTGGGCTTTTAGGAAATGTCCCGCTACTTCTGCTGGTAAGATGCGTGTAAGCTTCTATCAGGCTTCCAAACTGATGAAGCTTTTCTTCTCCAATAAATTCTAAATTGCAATAATAAGTAGAATAATGTTTTGAGGGTAAAAAACTTACTATATCCATCAGCGCTAAGTTTCCTGTCAGCTAGATCAAGTGGACCCCACATATTGACATGCTTAGTATGATTGTTTAAATCATAGATAATGACTGAATTTAAATAATATCTAATCAAAACTGGTTATTAGGTTAAAGCCATAGAGCATAGACCATAGCCAAGGTTCCTAAATTGTATATGTATTCCTATAGATAGAGACGACTGGGGATATTCTGTGCATACTATGCGTAGCTAGATACTAGATGTATCTATGAAATACTGAATCATAGAACAAGACTTTTTAGGACTGAGCCACAGCATGATACAACGAATACTTTGTATTTATTGTATCATGGGACTGAATTCTATGATGCATACTTTAGGACACAGACTACACTCTAGGAACCTTACCTTGCCCCATGCACACATCACATAGGTTGTGATTGGTTGTGATCATAGAGAAAGTAAAATTATTTTACTTACTCTATGGTTGTGATCCATGTTGTGATCTCTCTCAACCGATGGGCGTTTATTTTCATGCGTTTACGTGAGCGCTCCCGGTGAATTTTTGTATTGCCGATTGCCTAAATTCGGTGAGAAGCAAATTCGATATACACAAGTAGTTATTAAACGCACGAAATTAGACTAATTTTAGGCAATCGGCAATACACAAATCCCCGGTGGTGCTCATATAATGAAAATAAGGTCCTTTGACTTTGTCACGCTGTCAGTCCTTGTCATTGAATATTGTCATCATATTCAAAACTGATTTCCGAATCGAAACCAAAATATCGTGTGGTATTTAAAGTCATTATATTTACTTTAGTGGAGTTAAAAGTGGAAAAGTACAAAAGCATATTGCTTAGCTTAGCCTTGGCAAGTTTTTGGCCAAATTAAGTCTAATAACCATTGAGCAGCAATGTTTTCGTCGTCCAAAGAAAAGTCCCCAACGCACACTAGAATGAATTCAACAAATTTATACGTAACTACAACTCAAATTATACTAAAGGCTGACCCTACAAACCCACAGTCATGGCAGGACTTGTATAGACTGATACCCTATCTTAGGAACTCATTGTGTTGTGTAGTCTGTTCAATGTTATTAGTAGATCCATTAACTCCTACAGACGCTCAATGCCAACATCATTTATGTAGAAGATGTAAAGGAGGGCGCAAGAAAATAAAACCTCAGTGTGAAAGCTGCAAAGAGTGCATTGACTATAATGAGAACAAAAGTTTACGAATATTAATGCAACTCTATAAAAAAATGTGTTTTAATGTTATTAATTCTAAAATTTTCAAGTGCATTAAGATTCAAGCTATCCAACCAAGTCCAGGATTTCAAAGAGGTGCTAGTAATTTAATTCAACTTATAAAAGAGGGAGCTATGTTTCAGGATGATTATGAAAGTCGAGGAGGCTTGCCAAAATCAAGTTACTCGATATTGCCCTGTATATATTCAAATTCCTCTGGCACACAAAATCACACTGTGTCTCAACAAAATCAAACAGATACTCTAAAGACCCAAAACGCTAATAACCATCACAGAACGTCTCTATATTCCGTTGTTTATCCCGGTTCAGGTAATAAGATTACCATTAAAAGGAAACCAAAGGATTGTACAAATAGCAGTGCAAATAATGTTTTCATAAGTAATAATATAAGTTCTCTACAACCAAAGGAATTTCCGGAAAAGGTATACATTAGAGTTTAAATGATTTGGTAAATTATATCAATCTGGCTGATTGTAGGTAGTATTCAAGAAGCCCTGCACCAAACCAAAAAAAGGGTGTCGGTGTGGTAACGCTACTGCTACACCTGGAAAATTAACCTGCTGTGGACAAAGATGTCCGTGTTATGTTGAAAGTAAAGCTTGTATTAACTGCAAATGTAGAGGTTGTCGCAATCCTCATCGGCCAGATGGAAACAAAGTAAGTAATTATTTGGGAAACGAAATATTTTTTAATTGTGTATTTTTTAGGTGATGCCTTTTATCCCCGAATTGAAACCTCCCCAAATAGTCGTACCTCCAATTCAGGATATTCATGTCCAACAAATCCAAGTAATAACGCCATCAGTTCCATCAACTTTAAATGATGAATCCATGAGTGGCGGAATTAAATTAGATGCCATTCAGTTAGATACTCATTTTAATGCCGAGTCACTAAATAACCAGTTTAAGGCTTATAAATGTAAGGACTTGTTGAAGCGTAAAATTGATTTTGAAAACAAGAATTTTTTCCAGTTTTAGACAATGGTTTTGACCCAATACAAACCTTAACTAGTTCAGATCTGTTAACCTATGGGGTACATGAAGATGACGAAGAAACTGATATTATGGTAGCATAACTCCCCGTTTTTTATTTCCATATTATATTGAAACGAAGGCAATTGATGCATTCAGTGATAACATAACAGTGATTTTAATGGTGTTTTCATTAGCAACATTGAAAAATTCATTATTTTTATTAATTATATTCGATTACCATTCCATACTCTTTTTCAAGTGAATGCGAATTTGATAGCAGTTAGTTTCAAAAGAGGACACATTGTATTGTAATTGTGATATTTTATTATTGAAATTAGGATTAACATATATTTTTTTATTTGAAAATATCTATCGTACTAGCTCAATTGATTCACTGTACATAAAGTGCATATGTATAAAGAATCGTATTTCACTGACCCAAATAACTTGAAGCATTAGTCGTAAAGTCGAACTTTGTGACTTTTATGAGACCACCAGCTGCAATTTAGTGCAATTAACTAGGCTGTTTCTCCAAGAAATGGTCTAAAAATATAACTGTGCCAAAGACAGTTTAATTTTACAATTTTCTCTTAATATCTATAAAATTAAGATGAACTAAAAGAAATATGAAATGAATTACTTTATGACTTATTAATTTTAGTTCAAACCAGTTCATGATATATGTAGTAATAAATGTTTACTTAACAAAAACTAAAATGGTCTATACGAATTGGGAAACTTTGAAGGTAGTCCTCTCTCTAAATATTCGACCACATGTTTCCATTTTAATTCCTGACATATATCTATAATTCTCCTTTCCAGCTCCTCACTGGACTTATCTTCTTGCATTTTAAACATGAATTTTAAAAGTCTTCCATAGTGTTGATTCACAAACGCATGCCAAATTGCAAAAAACAATACATGAGATGTTAGAATCTGAAAAGAAGTAAAATTGTTAAATAGCGTCCAAAAAGGAATGTTATTCATTGCGCTCTATTGAAATGTACAGAAAGAATAACATTTACCTTTGCATCACTAGGATCAACAAATTTTACGAGTGATTTCCATACGTTTGCTATTTCCTGATGCTGATTATCACCGCTTTCGTCTAACAAACTTAACCGAGACAAAGCTATCCCTTTCCGTGCCAAACACTCCAGATAAATATTCTTTTGCTGCTCTGCTTGTCTAGATAAAAAAGAAGTGATGCATTGAAGAGTTATCACTAGAAAAGTATGCTGAATTAACTCAGTTACATTTTGACCTTAACAGCATCGACTCGCAAATCCGTTTTAACAGCCATAGAAGCCAATATCGTTTCTTCATTTAGGCTATTTAGCACTTTGTCGCACGTATTGGCGATTTTGTTTAAATCATCAGCAGTAACAGATGGCTTTTTCCGTAAAGCTGGCAATATTCTCTTGTCTAGAGGATCAAGCATTTGCAAATAGGAGGAATGAATTGGCAAATTGTTTGGATGATTTTTCAGTAATTCGCAGTACAATTTCTCGCCTCCTTCTTTATCTAAGATAATCATAGTTAAAAAATGTGAATTATTCTTACAATGATACTTTACCTAGTTTAGAAATCCAATTAATGCTCAAATCTCTCAAAGCATCATTATACTCGTCTTTCTTGGATTTATCTAGCACTGGAGCTCCCCCACCATTTGAACCGGTTTTTTTAGGACTACTATTGTCTGATAAAAAGTATTTGATTGGATAAACGTCGACTTTCTTACCAATTTCATCTTTAGCATATGTTATGGTTCCGGAGAGATAATGAGCCATATTGTTTGATTTAATAGAAAATCTTTAAATAAGCCAGATATTAAAGAAGTTGCAAAATGAATTTTCGGAAAGCTATTTACTTATCAGAAGCCAATGGGGCGATATAGAATGGAACAATCGTATGTGGATTGGCGTTGTAGGTAACCCCAGCTTTTTTTCCTCCGATAAGGGCTTGGGAGTAAGTCAAATAGACATCCATCACTATGCTACTAGCCAATTTTTGTTGCAATAGTAAAGAAGCATCTGTAATTTTTTCCAAGTAATCCCTTTTGTCGTGCCTTACTTGTAATCGTATCGTATATTCGCCTTTCTCAAGTTTCACGGTATACTGAAAAATAAACCACCGTGATGTTTGTCAGTTCTGCCCAGTAAAATTTAAAGGTACCTTAGAGGGATAAGCATCACCACTACTTAAAAGCTGCTTGTTTGCATCAAATAGCATCCAAAGTTGCGACTCGTACTCAGATTCATAGAGCATATGACTAAGCAAAGATAGATTGGGTGATACTTCGCAAGGCTTTGAAATACTGAAATTATAAACCAGTACTAGTTCGTAGATTTGTCGGTTAGGAGGAATAACATCACGATCAGTGAGAGGGGTAATTTTTCCTTCTGAAGGCCTGAAATTGAATTAGTTGGCTAATGTATTATATTCTCTAAAAAAACTATACAACATCTTACTTCAATATTTGCACGGAATTTTTCAATGAAATGGTTGGAGAAATCTCTTCACCCTGTAGGGTTTTAACTTCTACTGTATGTATACCGTCGGCACTATGCATGTTGATTAGTGGCTGATTAGGTTTGACGCCATAGAAGGCAATGCTATATTCCAATGTCGCTTCACCAGTATTTGCCCAATATTTAGCAATGACTACTTCTAAAACGATGTCCCCTTTAACTTGGAAACTAACGTACGTGTCAGTCTTTGAAGTCACAGCCACAATTTTCACTGTTTCCAAAGACTTACAATGCTGCCTGGGAAGCGACTGCATTGTATGTATGACGAAACGTCCACTGTCCTCATTCGAAGTCAGCTTTAATACGGCCCACGTTGCTGCTGACGGTACAACAAAATAATGCCTCTTGATTGTGTTGGGCTTAAATGGAATACTACTATATTTAAGAATGAACTTTTGGTCAGGAACTTCACTTGGCTGAATTATTGTGACAGGAATTTGAAATACTGGACCTTTACTAACGCATGCTGTATCATAAGCACTGACAAAAGTTGAATGCAGTCCCTCTGGTAATGCAGATGTGTCTATATCAATCCCAAACGTTCTCGCAACATTAGACAGATCTAAATGCTTTGGATATTGAACACATTCTAGTGGACATGTCAAAGCCAGCTTCATGTTAAAATTGATCTTTTCCTCTGCTGAAACTTCATCTTCATTCAAAAACCGAGGTTCAACACTAACTTTAAAAATGTGCTTTTTGCTGTTCGTTTTGGTACGTAGGTAAATTCCCTTGGTACTGCTTGAACCACACTGCAACTGGAAACGCACGTTCCTTTCGCGAATGCTTTGATAAGCGATAAGATAATCGAAAGCTTTATCGACTTGTATTAGTCCCGCTCCTTGAGCTGGAATTTCAACACCTGCTATGAAATTGGCAGTATTCATTAAGGCTCTTCGGACCAAATATGGAGAATAGTAACAATTTTCTTGAATTATGCCTGAGAGAAGAAGACAAATTGCGCCAGCGCAACTTGGAGAAGCCATAGAGGTGCCATTCATAAGTTGCGAATAGCGCAATGTAAAATTGGGAACTGAGGTAATTGCACCGCCCGGAGCGCATATATGAACTCCTACACCACCTTCAACAGTTGGACCTCTAGAAGACCACGTGTATGGAGCTCCTGTGAGAACAAAAACGTTTTAAGTGAAATGTTGGTTAGTAGTAAATTGTAGTCGTTCACTTACCTGACAGCTTTTGCTTCATGGCATATTCCGCCACCATCATTTCAGGAGATACGTAGGCGCCAACACTGATTATAGGTTCGTCATCTATATCTGAAGGAGTGCTGATAGTACCTAATGCTGGCCCATTGTTACCAGCAGATGACACCCATATTATTCCATATTTATTGACAATTTCATTCACTAAATCTCCAATACGCCTGTTGGAAAAGTTTACTTGCTTTAATTAGCAATTTTATTAATACTACTCAGTATTGGTGCTCACCCTGCATCCACCCAATGCGCGTGTTCTCCGTAACTCATATTAATAACATGGACATCCATTTTTTGCTTTAGCTCAAGAATCTTAATCATAGCTCTAATTAATCCGGTGCCTGTCTCCATCGAGCCTAACCTGCCATCTCCAATAGTGAGTGATATTACTTGGGCGCCTGGTGCAATGCCGTTTTGTTCTGGTGCATTGGCGAAATAAGCAGAGGCTATTGAAGCTACATGTGTGCCATGACTAGCTGCAAATATTCAAACAATATGTTTTTATTTTATACAATTCGCCATTTACACATTTAGTATAAGTGTATATACTTACAACACACTCCTACTAACTCGAGCACATTTCCATTATCATGAACATTAAAGCTAAAGTTGAGACTATCCAATTTCGTTAATGGCAAATATTCATGAGTAACACTATACTCTCCTAAGACAGGACAATTCGCTAATTCATTATCTGCACTTGTATTAATGCAGCACATCCATTTTGAACCATCATTGAAAAGAATGCAATCATATACTGGCCCAGAATCATAATATTTCTTGTCAAGATTATTCAATACATCTAATTTAGCTTCACAATCTTCTTTTTCGTGCTTTTCATTCTCATTGGAACTATTGCTGTTCTGTGAAGTCTCTAAATTAGATAGATCACGATTCAGGTCACTGATTAATTTCCTCTGGCCTTCTTCCCACTTTTTCTTCTTATATTCTGACTTTACGCGTTCCTTCAACCGATCAGGATATAAATCAAAAGCATTTTTTACACCAATTCTATATGTTTCGGAGGGATTGTTCCAATTACTTGGAATCTACAACACAAAAAGGACAGCATTGTTTCTCATTCTCTACTTAATACAACAGATTTAAAAAATATTATAGTTCCCGTTCAACGAAAGTCCGTCAGATAATTGCAAGGGCGGATCCAGGGGAGAGTCATGGGGG